CACGATGGTGGTCCCGGACGCCGACCGGGAGAGACCAAGCTCCGGGCGTAATCCACGATCTTCACCTGAATCGTCTGGTCGGGCTGGCACGACCCGGCCGCCACCGCGCTGAGGCACCGGAGCTTGTACTGCCTCCCGCAGGCCGCCCCATTGTCCCATATCCCTTCCCCCGCCGCCCCGAACAGGTAGCTCGATGGGAACTGCGACGCGTCGCTGCCGTAACACGCCGTCGCTGCATCGGGAAACAACAATTCGCTTTAAAAAAAGACCATCTTTGACAAGTTGGGTGAGTAACGGTGAAATAGCAGTTACTTACGGGAATATGGCGGCGGGTACCAGGCGGCGGTGCCGATGTCGGCGAGGCAGACGGAGGGGAGATGGAGGAATATTAGGAAGAGGAAGGAGAAGGAGAGGGGAAGGATTGACATAGTAATGGTGGTTAGAGCTTGGAAGGATTTTCTCTGAAGAAGAAGAAAGCAGGGGATGGATTAATTATAATTTGGGGGAAAGAGAGAGGAAGTCAACTGTATTTAATTTTTTGGGCCGGGATATATATAGATGTAGGTAGGTGCATATTATTGATTAATTAAATTATTGGTTAATTATTATTAAGTAGATAATGGTCTTTGAGAAGGTTCGAACTGGCTCGTGGACAGAAACGATGCCGTATCCGTATCGAGACAGCCATTATTTCCAAGAGGGAGACAGCAAGTGGTTTATTAGGTTGCTTTTCTCTTGTCGATCCATTTGCCAGATTTATTGCAGTCTGCTTGTTGCTTACTAACTATACGACTTGGTCGTAATTTCCTTATCGCTTGTTTTGTTTCTAATATACAGTCCTTATCCCAACCCGTGGCATATCCGTTGGTTCAATCTGTATCGGGCGTCCAGATCCGTTGACTAACCTTATGGTGAGTAAATATGAGTAACCCGTTCACATCAGGATGACCAGTGGCAGATTCAGAAAATTTTCATAGGGGTGTCCTCTTAAAAATTAAATTTAATTAAATAATAAATTAAATAATTCGTATATTAAAAATATCATACTTGTTTAAATTTTTAATTAAAATTCATGATGTGTTTTCATATTTTGAAAAAATGATATAAATAAACTCCGTGTCTGCACTGTTAAAAAAAATCTACATATCCTACTAGACAATACTTCACGAACTTATCACATATTCGATTTCTAACCTTGTTCTTAATGTAGCTCGAAGTAGAAAAGACTCTTTCAACACTTGCCATGTAACCATACAATCAATTCAAAATTAAGGGTAGCGTGTACGTAGTTTAATTATTAGGTATTGAAAATAGTTGGGGATAAAGAAATAGCGTTTTACTGTTGCATGATGTTTAAAATAGAATAACAAATGAGTAGCAACATAATTAGAATATGTTTGATAATAGTAGTGTCCTAGGTTGGAATAACACGGACTACCACTTATATTTTGTTAATCATAAGCAAACTATTATCGAGGGTAGGATAATCATTTTTTCAAATGTTAGGGTGTCCCGGATTACCAATTATATTTTGTATACCCATACGAAACTATTATCGGAGGTTGGATAATCGTTTCCCCAAATTTTAGAGGTGTCCCGGGACACCCCTAGAGGCCCATCTATCCGCCCCTGAGGATGACATCAGCATCCCTCTCTTTTGGAAAGCCTTTTATCTTTTCCTCTTTAATTTTTAAGGGACGATTTATTTTTCATTTTAAGTCGAAATTTAAATTTTTTTGCACAGATAAATCCGATTAAATGTGCTCTTCAAAATGATATCCACTTTGATATATTTTTGAAACAAAAAAATTGAGCCATTTTTTACCAGTCTATACCATATGGTATTGACTAGTATTGAAATAAGAGCATACCTATGGTTTGAAAAGCTTACCATGGTGGTATAAACAAACCAAGATTGTAGGATGGTTGAATACATGATAATAGAAGTATATTAACTGTCATTTACGACTTTTAACAATGTGGTATTGTATGGTATTTTTTGGTATTTTTTGGTCCTGTAATTTGTTCACCCAGAATTTTGTAGATCCAATAGATCATGATGAACTCGTTCCTTCTGTGCAAACGTTTTCAAAAACGAATTAAAAACGAAGAAAATATCATATGGTATGCAGTTGGTACCGAGAGGCAAGAAATCTTTTTTCTCAAAAAATATTGAAAATGGATCTGATTTTGTAAAGCACAACGAACTCGTTTCATCTGTGCAAAAAAAATTAAAATCCGAGTTAAAACGAAGAAGATATGAGCCGATTAAGAAAACTAGGAAAATAAAACTGACCTTTAATTCTCCATTCTTAGATCTGGAACAACTAAAAATTCAATTTATGAAGCCAAGAATCAGCCGATTAAAGTTCATGAATCTCGCAAGTTTAGTTTTTTTTAGATCCCACCACTTTCGTTGTTACATCTTGGAAAAGAGCTATCGACCATGCGATAGTCCTGCCGGCCGTCACCAGAAGATATTGGATCGTCGACCACCAAACTTTGATGAGAGAGGAGGAGAGAAACCAATCAATTTTATTTTCATGAAGTTGTAACAACGAAAGTTGCGGGATCTAGAAAAATACAAATGACCTTTAATTCTCCATTCGCGCGACTGATTCTTGGACTATGTGAGGAGCCCAAGATATCTCACTCTCTAGGTTAGATGGATGTGGGTATGTGCCATGGGTGGTCGGAGAAATAGAAGGGAAACCCAATCCAAAATAAAGATTAGGGCATTTGGATTACCAAGAACAAGTTGACTAATTAGAGAGGTGGTAGACTTTCACAGTATGAACGGAATACCTATCTCAAAATTCAATACAAATTTGGTTAGTGGTTAGATGATCAGTCGCATTGACTATATGTACATTGTGTATTTATACGCAGCAACGTAACTACCCGTACATTACATATACTCTCATGAAATGACATCGATCGCATCATCATGCTGAGAACGCAAGGAAATCATATAGCGTATTAAATCGTACTTTGACTCGACAATTCTAGCAACATTGTATTCGTTGCAAAAAGTTTCGTGATATGATTTGAAGATGTAACTTATTAAGTATTAACTCGATCGATCATCCGTTAAACTCGTGGAGTCTACTTAAAATTTGCGTTGACCAAGACACACCGCAGATAATTAAACTTGCCAAGACTTAATTAATTCGTCGGCGTCAACCATTGCTCGATCGATCGGCATGGATAAGGCCCGCAATAATAATTTCATTAAGAACACTCCTTAGGTTTTCGAAACAAACGTGATGATGTAGATGTGACGCATGCATATAAATGTATGAATGGCCTACTGGATGGATATGGAGAATTGGAGATGAATCGTGGTCAACAATGGCTGCCCCTGCCACATACGAGTAGAGTCAGCAGTAGTTTTGTAGGTATACCAACAACCATACTTGAAGTTATTTCGTAAAAGTTAGATCCGGCATATCTTGTCCTGAAATTATGATTTAATCATATGATTAAACAGTACGATACATTGTTTGAGAAACTATGATTTAATCATATATGTCGATAGGGAATTGTTTCACGTCAAGTCACAGGTACGATACAATTTCTTAAATTCTCCAAGCAATCATTGTAGAAGGAAGTGGTTAAAATTCGTCCATGCATGGATCCTTTCCAACAACTCGAGTTATTGGAAACGGTTGGTCTTTTACACGACGTCATAGTTGATTTGTCCTTGAGGTCGCGTGTTCAAGTCCTCAAGCCTCCCTATATCACCCGTTATCTTAAAACACATGGCATGTTCAATGGTGAGTCCATGCAAACTTCAACCACATTATCATCAGATACACTAATAAAAATATGAAATTATATGCATCGAGAACAAATGGAATATCATTTCTGCCAAGATAGTTATGCTTCCCACTAATAAGAAGACACTCACGTACGTCTCATATAAAGTCAGCCGTTTGGTTTACTCCAATGGTTAACTTAATGAGTGAAAAATAATACGTCGAATAGTAAACCCATGCATGCATAGTGGAACAATCATGATTAGATACAAAAAATTGACTGTTGATTGCGTGACTTGTCCGCTCTCTTCTCCTCTCCTTTACATTTCCTGCACTCCATTTTCCAATCTTTCTAGAAAGACAAGAATAGAAGGCAATTGTAACTTGCAAAGCAGGGTATTCAGGAATCAGGAATTTTAAGGATAGTTTAGAACCTCTGATTCTAGACGGTAATTGTGTATTTTGTCATGAGCTTTATATTCATCAAACAAGGCAGTCATTATCTTAACGAATAGACAAGTCATATTTGTAAAAATGCATTGTTATTTGAGATGACGTACATAATTCAAGTAAGAAATTAGATTAATAGTATACATTTGTATCTATCTATGATCACAATATACGGATAACTCAAGTCGAATTGATAAACATTCAATTCTTCCATAACTATCAACAAAACGTACGTTTTGGAGTAGGGAACATGGTATTGTCGTTGATCATTATAATAATGACATTGATAATATATAAGATAGGTCCATGTCAAGTCAAGTGTGAAATGTGGGAAAAACAAAAGGCTCCTAAAAGCGTGGAAAGTCTTCCAACTTTAATTGGTGATGTGATGATACGATATGTCGATTTCTGGAATAAACCCCTGGGGGGCGACTTGACGTACACATCTAGTTTGTACTTTGGGGCTGGATTACATCTCATCTTGATGAATTTGTGTATGATAATTTTATTAATGGAAAGTTTGAATTGTACAGAATGGTTTCTACACTATTTAGACCATCTCCATCCCTGCAATAGGTTAGCCATTTCATAAATGGACCCCACATCCACATTACCAACTTTAGCAACTATTCAATTCAACCATTTCAAACCACCTACATCCCTGCAATATGTTAGCAATTGCAATTGATGGGACCTACTACATATTCTTTTCCTTAACAATACATTTTATGTGTACAAAGTGGATAGAAAAGAAACAAAGAAAAAAGAAAGAATTTGAGTGCATGAATGTGTGGGTCCCAATTGCTTATGTGGCATTGCAAAGGGGATTGCTTATTTAGCAATCTTGCTAAATAAGAAAGAAGTGTTACATCCTTGCAATTGCTTAAAGCTATTGCCACATAGGATTCCACCCAATAAGCAATAGCAATAAGCAATTGGATGGAGATGGTCTTATACATGAAGGAAAGACTATAAGGAACAATAAATAACAATAACCATGCTAGACTGTAAGCATGGGCTGAAGTAGAGTAGAATGGGTGTGCTGCGGGAGTGCAGGGCAACATGGGCTGCCTGTTGAGCATCATGGGTGGTTCTAGAGCTGTCTGGAGTACAGCTCACAATATGGGCACATTTCATATTCAACACTCCCCCTCAAGCGTAGACATGAATGACAAGAATGTCAAGCTTGAAAAAGAAATGTGAAGTAGGAAAAGAGGACGATCATGCTAGGATCGTGATTGCCTTTTGAACATCTTGAACGAGGTTGTTATTGGAGGCCACTGATGGTTTCTCTTCGAGCAACC